CGCCCCAGTCCATCACCAGAAACTTCTTTGAGAGTGTTCAGTCCAAGTCCAATCGCTTTGTTGAGCTCATCGATAGCGCCAGAGCGCACAGTCTTCAGATATAGCGACCAGAGCATCCCATATACTGTCTTGCACCGATCAATGTGCATCTCTGGACATAAGTGCACGGCCTGCGCGGAAACATCAAGGCATTCATCCAAATCTTCTGGTCTTCCGAAAATTTGGTATCGGTAGCATAGATACACCCCTAGGAATCGCAGGTGTCGATGTTGATCGTAACAATGAGATGGAGGCAGCTCAGCCAAGGCCTGCCGCTGGATGTTGACTGTTTCGTCGAGCAAGGTGTGAGATACCTTCTCGCTAGATAACCCACATAGAGTCCATGCCAGATTAAGGCGAATAGTTGCTGCCAAGTAGGTTCCCGTTGCGCAGAGTGAGATGGCTTCTCTGCAGAGCGACTCTGCAACGATCCTATCTTCTTTCCGGGAAACGTCGTTTGCGTTGATATCTAAGATCCTGGCGAAGAGCCCCAGTACTGTAAGGCAACGTATCCCAGCTGTGCGGCACATAGACAGGGCTTCTTGCCCATATCGTACCGCAAGCTCCAGATCGCGTTGCTCGTAATTGTGCCTATAGCGATCCACGTATAGATCAGCCAGCCGAATGAGTATGTGATATAGCTTTGGGCGGGGGTCGAGCGAAACGTCCAGTTCCGGATTCGGGCTTGTCACGCTGAAGGAAGTGGTTCCCTGTGACTCCAATAGGAGGGCCTCATAGTGCTCGATGCACTGCTTTGCAGCGTCGAGATCGCTGTTCTGGCAGAATCTCTGGTGGAGTTGGAGTGCTGTGTCATAGCGTTCGTTCCCCTCAGATGACGTAGCTGCTGCAAGGTGCGGTTGGATAATATTCAAAGCAGCACAGCAAAACGGATTTACTTGCGCATTCGCAGATTTTTTGCGACCATCTTGACCATGACCGATTGGACCCACTGTAATCAGTTCTGCGTATGGTCAAGGGAATAAGTTGTTATGATTGCCAGTCGAGTACCACGGCAGAGAAACGTGAATGAACATACCGGTTGTCATATCCCCTTCGGCTTTGTCTTGCATGTTGGTCTGTTTGCTTACTGTATCAACGGACTGCTGCTCCCTTATATGTGCTTTGCTGGTGCGAGGCGAGGCGAGCACAGCCTCGCGCTCGTAGAAATAGCTCTAATCATCATAGCATGCCTGACGGTGTGGTGCGATGCAGCTCTGCAGATACACTGGCGCGTCGATGTCCCATGTTTCATGAAGCCGACGCACTGATTAAACTCGCGTCTTGTCCGGCTTGAAGGAACTGAGAACTCTCCGGAACTTCAGATCAGAGTCATTGCTAACCCGAAACGTCGAACTCAACAGATATTTCGTACGCCTTCCACACCACACTGCCGGCCAACAAGAGAATGTGATCATGAGTCTATGTTGGGTGACCCATCAGAGACAACTATGCTGTCGGTTTTCCAAAAACGTTCGCAGAGTTTTCGCCCGCGAGATCGCAGAGAGGGGTAAGGTTAGCCAGATCTGATTTTCCCGGTGATTCAATCTTATCGGGCGTCCGGAGTACCCAACCAGACGCTGTTCACCGCGGTGCCACAATACGAACACTCCTTGATCGCGACGCAGTGTTTCCGAGTAGGACTACTGCTTGCTTGATGAATGGTCTTCGCCTGATCGTGCGCTCAGGTGCACACATTGGATGTGAGGACTGGGGGCGTCGGACGTCCACCGGCACCTCAACATCGCTTTGGCGACGTTGCTGCTGAGCGTTGAGCCTTGACGCACGGACCCGCGAGTCCAGATTCAACGAAGATGGTGGATGCTGGGCGACTTCTGATTTGTTGTGTTGAGATCAACATGAACGCGCAAAGCAGACTTCAGCCCGAGCACTGCGCCACGGGTACGTGATGAAACCGCAGCACCTTCGGCGTTCGCCGACGCCTATTTCCTGTCCGCATGCTCCAACACGTCTCGGAGGCACTAGTACTGCGGCTATAGCCTTTCACACCGAGGATCAAACTAAAGATGTACCCGCAACGAAGTCTTCGAACGTCAACAGGCGCAGGATGATTTCCAGCGCCAACGGCGGCAACGACGAGAGCCCGCGTGCCCTCGCAGAAGAACGACGTCGAGCTCGAATACGAAGGCGGAAGGAGGAAGTTGTTCGTCGTCACCGCGCTTATTTTTGTCAAGCCGAACGTCGACTCGATCATCCTCGTCGAAATCCTCCGTAACCTCGCTTCCTTACCCGGAGGGACGGTACAGACCGCTGTTGTCATACCAGAATCTGTTACCGAGGAGGAGAAGATTGCGCATCGTGCAAGGTGCCGATTTCGTGCTGCTGGACAAGGAAGAGCATGCATTCCGCGAGTATGGAGTTGGGGATGATCACAGCCAGGCACTGGTGCTCGTGCGTCCAAACGGTTACGTCGGTGCGTACGCGTATGGCATAGACGGTCTAAAGAAATACTCCGAAACAGGTTTTGGAGGTTGCATCGTTGGAGCAGCTGTATAGTACGGACGAGGCTATTCATGTGATCGTAATCAACTCTTGCAACGCTATACAAATATCCCAGTTCAACCATCGGTTCTCCGGAATTCTTAGATACCCAAATGGATATAGGATGCCCATCGACTGGGATCCGCATGAATCCGGCGGAGATTCTGCACCGCCCTGTCCAGCGCATAGGGTATGTCATCTGGATTGAGGTATCCTGCTTGCTCGTGATAAATCTCCTCGTAGACGGACTTGGCAATCACGGGCCCATCCACGTCTTCCATCGACCTAAGCAAGATTAGCCTACTTCTAGTGCGGGTCAGAATGGTGAGACGCAGACTTGTCATAGTGTCGCGATGACGCTCTTGAAACCTGCAAACAACAAAGTCGCGGCGAGATGAACTGCCTGATCGGGTTGGTTCTGCGTTGCATGAGACACGAATCAGTCTGCAAAGGTTGAAACAATGACTCAAGCACTGACCTTGTCCCCTTTCGCGGTTTCGCACGCGCTCAAAAAGGCCATGAAGGCGCCTGAAAGAGGTATGGGCATCAGTCTCTCGATTGTCAACATCTCATCTTGCATTGCAAAGCCGCTTCTGAGTGGATCCATCCTGTCTTGGTAACCATGGCATGCGAGATGCAAGATTGTCGTATCAGGTAATTTCTCCAGTAACGTCTTCGCAGTGACCCCGGAGCTACCCTCTACAGACACGTTTTCAGAGGGTGGAAGGGGGATTTCCGTTCCATCTGGAAGCATAGCGCGAATAATGGCAGCCTCGTCACGCGTAGAAGGAAGACTAGCCCACTGGGGCATGTGCGACTGAGGTACTGCGGCTACCAAGGCCCGGATGTGCCGCTTTGCAACGGGAGAAAATGCTGCCCTGGCGGAAATTAGGGCACCGAGCGTTGGTGTATATGAAGACACAACGTAGTCGGAGCACCAGGTATCATCGGCACCGGCAGCATGAACAGGCAGATGAACGAACTGTCCAGTAGGGCACCACCATAGACGCGGGCGATTGCGGCCCTCGGTTCGCTGACATATACAAGGGTGAGTTTGTACCGCAGGGGAACCGGTTATAATTTATTGTACCTTAAGATCCAGTGCATCAAGGATCGGACGTACTACATCCACCCACAGTAGACGCAATATCTCGTGCGTTCGATGATTAGGCGAAGAGTACTTCCCGGATTTCGTAATCTTCAAACGATCCTTCGAGATTGATCTTGCTTCTGTCGCAGCTGAGCGCCATGTAGTGCCTGAATCAACCAGCCAGGATTCAGTGAGCTGCCTCAGCGGGATGTTGATTGCCTGTCCCGACGGCTTGATGATGACAGCATGGCAAGCCAGCATGCTGGACACCAGAATGACTATGGGACCCCGATTCGCAGCCCTTGCCAGCGTCGAATACTCGTCTGGAAGAAGGAAGCGATCCATCCCATGCAGCTTGGGCATCTCCTTCAATAGCGCATTGAACTCCTTAACCTCTTGATTTCTTCGTGCTGTCTAAAGCTCAAGGGATCGCGGGTCTTGCGGGGCAGGCAATGCGTCGCTTACGCGATCGAGCTGACGTGCGAGGAATGCAAGTCGACCCTTGAATTCTCCCGGAACTTCGTCGAAGGGTGAGCGTAAACGCAAAGTATGCGTCCAAAAGACGGCACGCCCTTGCTCGAGCATCTCAACCGCTTTCGTCGCGTCACCAAGGTTTAGTGCTTGTGATGCGCCAGTGAGGGCTACATTTTGTCCAGAACTGAGAGATCGTAGACGAGAATGAAGGTGGAGGCCAAAAAATGCGACGCGCGGGAGGAGGCCGACGACCTGCGCATACACGTCCAAGAGCTCCGAAGGTGTCGGAGCGTCCGCAGTGAAGACGTCCTTGTGGGACAGTTCAATGCTATCCAGCAGCTCTATGGCGCCTTGGATTCGAGATCGAACGTCTCTGTGATCGTCTGACAACGCGTCGTGAAAGTACTTGAGGGCGAGCGGAACGTTGCAATAAGGGGTCCCATGTTCAATGTAGAGTCGCGACGCATCGAGAAGAGATCGGAATCGCTCGCGTCGACCATGTGGTGCAATCTCCAGCGATCGGTTCATGCATTCCATTGCACGAGTAGCATCTTGCTGCATATGAGAATGACGGAAGCGAATCAGGTAACCGGAGGCGAGAATTCGTAGACACTCGGGGCCGTGCATCCCTTGAGATAGTGTTTCTATTCCTGATTCTAATATCTGAACGACTTTTTCAATATCCGTAAGAGTGTTGTTACGCTGCCCTCGCAGAAGAAGGGCGTAGGCAAGACGACGTATTGCGTCCAATTTGTTGATGTGGCTCTCCGGAAGAGAATCGACTATGACCTGAGAAAGCGACACAGCCTCTGTAACGTCCTCTATTCCATGTAGTGTTTCGTACCGCATGCATAGCCGAGAGATTAATCCAAGGGCCGACATGCTATAGTTCATATTTGACGGGGAGATTTCTGCCATGGCCTGACGATCCAGGCCGATGGCTTCATTGAGGTCGTTGAACTCGCCTGCCTCTGCGAACCGCATCACCAACGCGTCTGCCATTGTCATGGCAGGAAGAGATCTCTGCGGATGGTCGATGGGTAAGGCTTCCAGAAGTTGACGACCCAGTCGAATCGCTTCTTCTAGATCGCCCATCTGCCCACTCCAAGCAAACAGTATGGCCAAGCATCTCGCAAGGTCGAGTGTATACATCCAGCGGTATTTGTAGTCCGAAGACGAGCAATCGAGAGCCTCGCGATGAAGCTGTACCGATTCTTCGATATCGCGCCCGTTTGATAATGTAAGCTGATGGCGTAGATCCAGAAGGCTTGCGACAGTGCTAAGGAGGGAACTGTGAAGCTCTTTGTCGCGCTGGCCCTCCTCGAGAACCCGGCGGCCAAGATCGATTGCCGTGTTGAGATCTTGGAGGGCGCCGGTATGAATACACTTACGATACATCGACCATAGCCTTGCCCTGATCGTACCTCCTCTGTCAATATGGCTCTCGGGGCACAGCTGTAGAGCTTCCTCGGTAAGGGCAACGTATTCGTCCAGATCGCTAGGATCCCCTAAAGCCTCGAACCGATACATCATATACGTCCCCATGGATCGCAGATGTCGATGTTTATGCAGGCTTTGAGAAGGAAGGAGCTCCGCTAGTGCTAGCTGTTGCGTCTCGATGGCTTTGGTGAGGTAATCCAACGACTGTGTTGCTTCATAGTATCGATTGAGCAGCGCTGCGAGATTGTAACGGGCAGTGCTTCGGAGAGGATGATCTGCGGGACAGATCCAGATCGCTTCTCGGAGCAGAGTTTCGGCCAGCTTTCGGCCCTCAGAAGCACCGGTGTATTGGGCGAGAAGGTTGAGGACATGGGCATGAATGGTCCATACGTTGGGACAGGTCATCGCCTCTGCGCGGCAAAGTGCGAGCGCTTCTTGGCCGTGAGTGGCGGCGTAGTCGAGGTCCGAACGTTCGTTCATGAATAGTTATCGGTCTTTGTATATGTTGGCTAGTAGTATGAGGATATGACGGCGTTTGGGAGGAGGCGCTAGGCTGTCTGATTCACAAGATAAAGGGGGATCTTTCGCAGATATGAGGCTTTCGCAAATCGCGATACTTTGGTTCGCGGCCTCAAGATCACTCTGCTGACAGAAGCGTTCGTGAAGCTGGAGAAGCTCCGCGAGCGGACCCGCAGCTTCCTGGAATGACACTATTGCGAATAGCGCGGAATCAGCGACGTCGTAGGGAAGCTTTATCTGTAGCTGTGTGGGCTGCATACCGGCTGCACATTCGCAGATATTCTGAGGAATGTGAGGATCAGTACCAGAGTCTTGATAGTCAGCTGCAGGCGCGCAGTCTGATCGCGTCGCTGTAAGAACAAGGATGAGTGCATGGTGATCAAGATGGACGCATAGACTCACGATTTGCTGGACCGCCTTCACCCATCACGCTCAGGTGCAGCGCTTTCTGATGTTGAGCTTTGATGTAGCTGTACACCACCCACAAAGCGTGGCCGGTGCCGGTGGAAATCGCGGGCAAAGATATCGGCCGAACCTGGCCGAAGGGGACGGAAACCTCACCGTGCCGGTCGCAAGATTTTCAGAGGGGTGGCGTTCGCAACTCGCATGATTTCTGCCCGATATTCTGAACCGCACAGAGCCCAACGAGGCTTCCGACGACTCTTAATATACGACAGAACGATTTGCGTTGCATCTGTATGATGTTCCCCGGCGGCTAGATGCGCTGGCCAGCGGAAGAGACTTTTTGTTAGGGACTCTTTGTTAGAAGTACACCCTGTGATCGTACGGGAGATGGGTCTGTAACGACAGTATAGTGGTATCAGGTTGAGCACTGTCGAGACTGAGGCATGAGCAGAACACTAAAACCGCTGAATAGCGTCTGACACGGGTTGTGACGTGACGGAGAGTTATAGTGCATGGTGCCGCTTTGCAAAGCTGCAGGCATGGATTCAATGCAGCCGAAGACTGGAGAGACACTGTAGCACATGTAAAATATGTCTCAAACCTGCAGTACGGCGAAACCGGCGATTCCCCAATCATAACCTTCCAAGGGTTCACTCTCAAGTACGTCCAAACGCATCCAGCGACGGCCTCCCATACGTCGGCTGCGTGAAAGACTCCACCTTGAGCGCCGCACTTCCGTGTATGAGGCAGTAGAAGCGTACCTTAGGGACCGGCTTGTTACCCAGGATGCCCTCGATCTTTTCCAACACTTCAGGCGTCAATTTAGGGATCACCTCGAGCGCCTTCAGATTATCCAGAAGCTGCTCGACGTTCGATGCGCCGATGATGACGGTTGACGTGTTCGGGTTTCTTGCCACCCACGCTAGGGCGAGGTGACCAACTTTGCAACCCAATTCTATGACAAAGAAAGGGGGAGGACATCAGAACTGACGGCACAGGAATGAAGAAGACGCATTGAGCGGACCTTTCTCAGCAAGCGCAGTAAGCTCCTTGATCTTCCCAATCTTGAGCTGACCACCCTCTGTCCCAAGACTATCGCCCAGTTCTTTCAAAAAGCTGAAATCCTGGTGCTTCGCAAGGCGCGAGTCCGGAGGTATTCCGTCGTTGTACTGCGGACATCGTTGTAATCTGGTCCGAGTTGATAATAACCTCGAGAGAGAACGTACCTTGCCAGTGAGTAGCCCAAATGCAAGACACGAGAAAGCGGTCGTGCCCATGCCATATTTCTTGTACAGCCCGCTGATTTCATATCGTCATACAGTATTACTGAATAGCCCTTAGGGAAGGACGTACGCATACTCCTTCTCAGGTCGCTCGCGGTGCAGCATGTTGTGTTCGCACTGCTCCACAACGGGCGCGTGTAGACCAAGTCTTTGCGCGATACCTGCAGATATAGCGTCAAGTTCATACTGCGCGCAATACGCGGAATCTCAGACCATGCGCCTCCTCGATCTCATCAGCGGCCCACTCGGACGTACCCCAATAAAACGCCTGCGCTCTCGCAATATCAGATTGCTGGATGCATCAGACAATCGCAAACAGAGAAGAAGCGCACCCATCCGCGATCGACCACATAGCTGAACGCACGCACGACTTCTTCCATAGGGACTTAGGGGAAAGAGGAATTAGAAGAAGGAACGAATGGTCGAGATGCATGACGTGCGCGTACCTGTGGGGTCCGAACGATGTGCGAAGATTATATCAACGTAGTCCATCTGTTATGTTAGGTATCAGACGCGTTCGCCAAAGATAAACTGACACCTACCTGGAGTCGCTCAAGCGACGCTCTCGTTCCTTCGACGATGCTACCTTGCGGTGACCTCAACATTGACCTCAAGACATCTATCAAACTCACTGTTTCCTCGACAGGCCTCCGAGATTATGCCCATACTCCGTACCCTGAAAGCATAACAGGATCAACATCGAGTAAATGGGTCATACATAGAGACGCACCCAGAAGAGCTTGGTAGTCACAATGATATCTGTCCGCTTGAAGCCAAGTTCCTTTATCACGCGTCCCCTGTGCGCGGTACGCCATTGTCACCGCCGGTATAGAACTATAAGGATGACGGTCGTACATCTCGAGCTCAGACTTGCCATCGGCGTAGGTCTCTGCACGCGGATCAGAAAGGGGGAGCGCGATTGCACGAACCCGGCACTCACCCGCATTATCGAACATGTTGATCCCGTGTTCATACGCAGTCTTCATCAGATCCTAATGTATCTCAGGTCATCCCGCAAGTTCGTCACAGAAAAACGCGGAATGAGCGGCTGTCCCCACCTTGACCGGATCGCCTAGCACTGTCGTTCCGATCGTCAACCCTATAATCTCGTCAGCCGGGATGCGAAGCCTATCACAACGGATGGCGAGTACTCACATCCTCCAAGCGAGAACAAAGGCACCCTCAGGCCGCTCGAGCCAAGGCGCCTGAACGGCATGCCCTTCGTATCGTACTGCATGGTATTCAATGAGTCAGATCTGGTGATGTTCGATCGTATGCTGGTCGATGGTCGTCAGATGAAGCGCTGGTGAGCAATACTAGCGTGGTGGGGTGAGATCGATCGAGTTGATATCAAGATGACGAGGGCATGATGCACGCCGAGATAGCTTGTGAAGCGCAGTCCAGACCGACGTCTTCGGAGTCGAGCGCCATGAGAGCCGGGGGATTCTCGGGAACCTGATCACATCAGGATGTGTGAGAACGCGCGGGATGCGGAATCCTGACAGTCTGCATGGAAGCCAGCGCACATCAGCGCCGGGGTGCATTCGAGAGAGATGAGTGATGTATTAGAATTGCGCCGGGTGACCCGTATTGTACTGACGAAATGCAAATGCTGGATGTGCGAAGACAGATAGCAACAAAGAGCTCAGATGTACCGAATATCCACCTATGGACAAGCAGCTCGTCAACGGCATATGGCTATAGGGCAACTGGGGACAAATACCGTTTTCCCTTCCTCTCCCATCTTCCATCCTATGCGCTTAGAGTAGCACTGAATTTAGGCGGTTCTCGCGTTCCTCCCTCGACACCAGATCCAGCTCCCCGACGTCAATCCCCACAAACGGGCGCGTCTTTAACCGTCGCGTTTCAAGTTCGCGCTTCGTCAGCCAGAGGTGGTATAGGTCAATGCAGTCCTTCGCGGCTATATACAGTCCCAAACCAATCGCGTTCCGCCACCTAGAAATATTCAAACAGGAGATCAGCCAAGTTGCCCAAGAAAACAGAAGGAGAGCGTGACTGACCAGACGGGATCGCTTTCGGCCCATGCCGCGGATCCGCCCCATACTAGGCCCAGGCCAACTTTGACGGCCGTCCATACGCGGCGAGCCTCGCTCATCCCTGCCCAGAACGCAGGGTATGACGCAGCGCCGAGCGGCGGAGGAACCGCGCCTCCGTGCCATCGCGGCTGCCTAATCGCGAGGATGCGCCGGAGGAGGGGGAAATATACCGCGAGGCGGGCAAGCGCGCGGCCGGCGCGGTTCGCAATCCAGGGTAGTGAGAGGGTCTCGATCAAAGTGCGACCGAGCGATAGGTGGGTGAGGTCGACGGCGCGCTCGGCTGCCAGGGCGTTAGCATTGTTGGGATCCGCGTTCTCGTCAGCGTTGACGTTATTGTTGTCCGCATTGGGAATAGGATTAGCGTTGGGCTGCTCGGCGTCGTTGGCATTTGCTTGTCGATTGTTGTTATTCGGTGCGTCTTCGGCTCCCGCTACGTTGGCGACGACCCGAATGCGGAGAGGTAAGGGCATCTGACCGAAGTCCCAGACGACTCGCCGAACTGGCCTTTGGATTGATGGTTTGGTACCGAGGGCCCAGTTGCGCAGGCGATTGAGCGAGCGATTGTACAACTTGCGGATAACCGGGATGAATATAAGCATGAGGAGTGGGGATGGTGGATATCGGAAGAGACTCCCCGGAAAAGATGGCATTGACGGGGAGATGGGTAATGGGGATGAAGGAGAGGCAGAGAAGTGGGCGGAGAATCGTTGTTGAGTCGTCTCCACGACGGGGCTGGAAGTTGGCCAAGCGAGGAAGAACGGTGTAGCAGGGACTTGGAGAGCGTCGAAGAGAGGTGTGCGGGAAATTAAAAGAGAGAGGGGGATGAGTGGGAGGTTCAAGAAGGCGTGCCACGGCCAGTTAGAGGGGTCATCTGTGAGGAGGATGTCGTACATCTCCCGGCCTGAGGAAGAATTGAGTATCAACCTGGCGGGAAGGCATAGAAACATACCAAGGAATTGCTCAACAGCCCAAGATCCATACGCCGTACATATCACATAGAAGCCTGCAGATGCAAGGTTATTGAGTCGTGCAGTAAATTCAACGAGGTACGCGCATACATCCACCGACAGTGCTGAGCACAGTCACAATCGCAACTCCCCCGCATATATTCGAGACGGTTTTATTCACAATGTTTAATATTCGAAGAGATAGTCGGTTGTCGCTCTCCATCTCGTAGGTCGCTCCGCATTGCGGACATTTAAGTGCGTTCTTCGAGCGTTCTTTATCGCCTTGAGACGACTTGATCCACTCGAGCAGACATGATTCGTGCGCAATCAGAGTGCAGTTGCAAGGGTGTACCCATGCACGTGGAGGTGTTTGAGGGTCTGTAAAATATCCAGCGAATTGGGCACGCCGTAATGCAACGAATACGCACGATCGTAAGTTTCCTCGTCACTGCAGATGTAGCATTGCTTGACCTGTATCCGGATTAGCGAGAGTGAGCTGGATGTGTTTCAGAACGCATTACCCTTAGGTCGTCGATCGTTGGAGCAGGCATTATATGTATCGTGGTCGCCGCCTGAAGAGAGGCGAGCATGCGCACGCCGCAGACCGGACGCCACCAGGACCAGCCTGAACCAAACGCGCGCGATTAGGCATGGATTTCATGAATACCTTCTCTTCGTTGTTACTCGAATGTCACTTGGGCGTCATCATATATTGCTTCAGTATAATATGCTACGAATGGAGTGTCCGACAGCGCGCGACCGAAACGATGTCCTTTGCATGTAACTGGAATGTTCGACGCGCAAGCTCGCTGCATTGCTGAACCGTGGCGCCACGGAAACCAAACAAAGCACGCAACCGCGTCACTTGCGAAACATTTGACGCCCCTTTTCTTCTCTCCCTCACCGACGACAAGGACGACGATCCCGACAACGGACGACAAGCGACACGAACTATGCCGCCGCGCATCCTCTTCGTCAGTGGCTTTCACCCCAACACGCGCGCCCGGGACCTCGCGTACGAGTTTGAGCGGTAAGACAGCAGCACAACTTGTGTCAACGACTTGTGGTTAACTTCTGTTGGTTCGCGCAGGTATGGCCCTCTCGTTCGCTGCGATGTTCCTGCACCCCGCAACCCGCACAGCAACAACCCGTGAGTGCCCGTTTCCCTTCGCCTTCGGTCGAACGCGCACGCATCGTGCCTCGCCTTTGTCGCAAGCCGACTCGGCCCCGAACCTTGTGCACTTCACCGACCGACCGACCGGATCGATGGCGCGGCTCGAGATATGATCAGAAGTCACGTCGCACACGTACCCGATTGCGAACTTTGCTTGGCGCGCGCGTCTCCTGCGACCTAAAAAAAAGGGGGAAAAACACATTGGTCGATCCGCGGTCCTTCGTCGTCGCCTCGATATCGTCGTCCTCCCTTCGTGAACGAGCGCTCAACGAACCTCGCTACCTTTCAGCTACGCCTTCGTCGAGTTCCGCAGCACGCGTGATGCCGAAGACGCATATTACGATCTGTATGTTGCACGCGTCGCTTTGTATGCGCCGCCCATACTGATCATGATAACAGGCATGGCCGCTCCTTTGAAGGTGCCCGTTTGAGCATTCAGGTATGTTCCACTCTCCCTTCAAGCTTGTTTCATCCACGCGTATCCTTCAACCTTATGTGTTATGGTCCCGGATGCTTACGTCCAATCTTACAGTGGGCAAAGAATCCTCCTTCCTCTGTATGGCGTTATGATCGTCGTTCGCCGCCTCGCTCTCGTCGGGAGCGCTCTCGCTCACCCCGCCGCCGCCGTGACGACGACGACAGACGTGATCGTGACCGTGACCGCGATGACAGGCGCTCCGATCGCTCCGACCGAGACCGTGACCGCGACCGGGACCGTGACGACCGCCGCTCGGACAGAGACAGGGACAGGGACGACCGCCGCGAACGGAGGCGCAGCCGCAGCCCGGATCGCGACCGCGACAGGAAGCGCAGCCCATCGCCGGATCGTGAGAGGGAGAGGGACCGCGACCGCGAGAGGGAGAAAGACAGGGATCGCGCGCGCACTCCTCCTGCGCCGGTGAGCGAGAACGGGGTGAAGGATAAGGAGGTGGTGGTGGAGAGGGAGGAGGATAGGGATAAGGCGCAGACGCCGCCGCCGGAGTACCGTTGAATCAAGGATCAGTACTAGTGAAAAGAGCGTGCGCGCGTGCCAACGGCAGCGGGCGGTGCGAGAAATGGGCGCGAGGTCGGACTCCGACGACCGCCATTCTTTCCCTTCGAGTTTATTCATTCTTCCCGCCTCTTTACTCTTCACCTTCAAAAGAAAGTAATTGCGCCCCTTGCATGTTCTTGCTCGAGGGGTGCAAACCTGTCGTAGCTTTCATATCTTCTCCCCTTACGCCTGAACGTAATGGACAAAACATGGCACGAACTTCATAGCCCTAGTATACATTCGACTGGATGTCTTATATCCTACGCACACTGCAGAATAAAAATGGGGCTGTGGGAAGTTGTACGTCGTTTGCAGTTTGGTATGACGTGCCGTTCTTGGATTGCTGGGGCCCCTACAGGTACTTTTGGAACCACTCAACGCTCGCTTTGAACGCAGCTTCTTTGCCCGCCTTGACCTTGGGGTCGCTCTGCGCAGCTGGTAGGTTAGTAAATCAAGTAGACGTCGACGCTGCGAGCTACTGGATACGGACCACGTCTGCGCGCACGGCGAAGCCATGCGAGCACCCGTCTGCGTACGTGCGCTTGTACCCTGGCGCGAACTTGTCTCCCAGGATCTTGTCTGCGGCAGCTTGTTTCTCGGGCGGGAACGGGTTGTCCGTCTCGCAGCTGTTGATGAGGAGCGGGGCTTTGGATACCTCGGCGTATTTCTGTATGTAAAAGGATCGGGCTGTGAGTGGGGAGGATAAAGGAGGACGGCATAACGAGCACGCGTTACCTCAAGGTCAGAGATTTCGAGACGCGAAGGGTGCGAGACGATGGTGACGTGGGTAATGTTCTCGAAGGCGAGGTCGAAGCTGTATCGCGCTAGGAAGATCGAGGTATTAGTGTTGCTCACGCGTGTGCAAGGAGAGATCGAGGGCGCTTTACCTCCCAAGCAGTAGCCGGTTGTCCCAATGCGCGTCACGCCGTCTGCTTTGAGAGCCGCGATGACCTTGTCGAGGATGGGACGGAGCTGGGCGGGGCCATGGCGCGCCATCCAGGCCTCGCGGTTGAAGCCGAGCGTCGCATGCTGGTCAAAGGGCGGGATCGGGTCCGATTCGAGGTAGTCTGGAACGATGGTCTTGAAGCCGTTCCGAGCAAAGTCGTCGGCAACCAGCTGTACATATCAAAAGGGATGTTAGTCAATTGACCTCGGAAGTGAAACGGGGACGTGCCTTGTTGTTCTGAGCGAGACCGAAGACGTCGGTGAGGAAGAGGACAACTTTGTCCTTGGGATAGTCCTCTGCCGGGGTGGAGACGTAACAGGGTACGCCTCCGATCTCTTCTATCGTGCCTTCGGGGGTGCCTTCATGGCGCACACCTGTCGTACGCAGCATCAGATGAATGTCGGCATGGACAAGGCCGTAGACGATTTGACCACATACTTTGGAAACATTCGTTGGTGAGACTCATATCATTAAGCTAACGAGCTTGATGTCTTGGATGATACTGTTCGCTTGAACGAGAAGACCGGCGTCTGGGACTCTGGTGCGAGAGGTTGGCTGCAGAATAAGTTGCGCGCAAGGCGTTGAATTTATACACCCTTTGCAGGAGGTTTTGGATGGCCGATCGGGAACGGAGTTCGGCAAGGACAGCGGATGCATCGGGAGAGGCTTTAGCTCGCGATTTTGTTTCTGACGATGTGGTAGTGGGAGCAGGAAACAAAAATAGAACATCATCATGCTCATCGTGGGAACGAACTTGGGAGTGGCGCGGACATGCCGACTTGCTTTGACCTGCGATTCTACCGATGAGTATCCTACATAAGTATGATCAGCAAGCAGGCTCAAACGGCACTTCATATCATTGCATACAGATCCCGCGGCGCGACAACTCCTCACGATCATCTACTTCTGATCATGATTTGCACTGGTCTATGCTCTCTTCGCGCTCATGCTGTGTTGTGGCTAAGTCTTCCGTGGGACGTGCACAACGCGTCAGGCTTAAGGATTTGCTGAAACAACTTCCGGAATATGATAGCTTTCGCGGAACTCACAGCTCAGCAGATGAGGCAGCAAGCTGCGCCGCATTCACTATATCGACGACGCGGCCTGTTGTCCTTGGGGTGAGAGCCCGCAGCTGCCCGCAGTTCTCTTTGTGGTGGTTTAAAAATCTTGCAGTTCTGGCACTTCAGTATTAAAGAACTACCAGTGACCAGGCTCTCGCTCAGTACTCCAGTATGCCTCGCAAGATGGGGCGCATTGCTTGCCCTTGGATTATCACCACCTTGCTCTCAGTCGTGACTCTTGCCTCTGTCTCCAACGACACACAGGCTGATTCCGAGGCTATCTGGGCCACGGTGAGCAGAAGTTCATCATACTTTCTGTCGAGATGCTGATGCTAACGTATCTCTATAATGGTTTACGCCCAGCACGAATTTAACGTGGACCGATTGTTACGAGACTCTGCACTTGCAATGTGCACGTCTTCAGGTCAGACACGCGGATTCGTGATAGATCTCCGATAACTGACCAATTGCCCTTTTATACTCAGGTTCCGCTTGACTACAATGATCCTGACGGTCCGATGGCTGCCGTCGCGATGATCAGGGTCCCTGCCAAAGTCGCTGTGGATGACCCGACTTACAAAGGTCCTATTCTGATCAATCCGGGTAAGTGGGGTGTAATTTGTCTTCTCGTATCACGAGAATGACACTAAGCTTGGTCTTCGAAGGCGGTCCGGGTGGTTCCGGGGTCGACATAGTCGTCGGTCTCGGACCGACGTTTAAACTGCTCGTGGGCGACAACTTCGATCTTATTGGATTTGATCCTAGGTTTTTCCTTCATAGGCGTAGATGCGTAGGATACTATACCCGTGTTGACACCTCTTTCAGAGGCGTCAGTCGGACGACTCCTTCCATGCTCACGTTCCCCATTGCTGCGGAAGGCCAAACGTTTACCGTCGAACGCCTGCAAGATCCTCCACTCAATGCGACCGTGGACGCCATCGCGCGCACGCATGCTCGCTACTCCGTGCTTGGCAGCTTGGCAGCCGCTCGAGACCTCGGTGTTGTGCAATACATGACGACGGCCACCGTTGCGCGGGACATGCTCAGCATTGTTCATGCGCATGGATTGGAAAAGCTGCAGTACTATGGCATCTCGTACGGGAGCGTCTTAGGTGTGTCGTGCTCCTGTTGATCACATTTGAGACGCTCAACGTTGGTGGGAGAATAGGGCTTACGTATGCAGCGATGTTTCCTGACAAAGTCGAACGAATGGTTGTAGACGGTGTATTTAATGCGACGGATTACTATTCCGCTCAGTGGTCGAGTAATCTGCGGTAAGACCTTCACACGTACGGTCAACATGTTGAGCGTCAACTGATGCAGCGCCCCAGAGATACCGATAAGATCCCGGAAATGTTCTACGAGACATGCGCCCAGGCAGGACCGGATCTGTGCGCACTCTTCGCGCCGGATTCTGCAAGCGTCAAGGCGCGAGTTGAAGCGCTTTTCGACTCGCTTAAACGGCGCCCCATCGCCTCCCCACCGCATCTTCAAACACTACGGACGGCACGCTGGACTACGGCATCGTCGACTACGGCCTTGCACGCAACGTGTTCTTCACATGGTTCTACAACCCGTTCTCGGGCGAATGCGACTCCGAATCTAGCGCTGGATCGCAGATCGACACGGAGACGCTCATGGCGATATCGTGCACGGACGGGGACCCCGTCTCGGGCGATTTGAACGACCTTGACGGGTGGTTCGATCAGTTGGCGACCACTTCAAGCTGTGCGGATGTATTCATCAATCACGTGATATGCTCGTGTGTGCCATTCACCTTTGCCAATATCGCGATGACGCTGATTCAAGAAAGCAGAGGTTGGACCGTGCGGCAAAAGGAGCGATTCACGGGTACACAAAGACTAACTTGCAGATCAATCTCCCATCTCACCATCGATTGCAGGTCCCTTCGTTGGTATCAACACAAGCTTCCCTATCCTCCTCGTGGGCAATACTGCGGACCCAGTTACTCCTCTGGAAGGGTGAGTCTGCTTCTTCCGGCATTTCCGAGTCGATCTGACCGTATCCCAGCGCCAAGCTAATGGCCGAAGGATTTGTCAATTCCGTCCTTCTAACGCAAAGCTCGCCTGGAGTGAGCCGACCGCCTTGTCGTTTTGCCTGTGCGCTTGAGGCTGAGATCCGTTCTAGCATAACGCATTCTCCGCCACTAGTCCTTGTACTATTGCGGCTATGGCGGCATATTTTCAGAATGGCTCGCTTCCGGAGCCGGGGACTGTCTGTGAGATCGAGGACGTTATGTTTCCGCCTGCCAACATTACCAAAACCCCGACTACCGGCGAGCAGACCACCACGATCACTAAGCGGAACGCTCAGAACGAGAATATGTCAGAGAAATTGCACAAGCTGAGGACTACGTACAAGGTGCCTAAGCTAGGCAGCTTTGGATTCTAGCGAGTTCCTCTGGCATCTGCAATGCAATCACATAGGTGACTTGTGACTCCGAGTCAACTGGGTTCGAGTCGCGTCTTCGGCTGGCGATTGTACTACATCGCTGTGCAGTCCCCGACGCAATATTCTCTTCGGAATGTTCGTAGGGGCGAAATGGGCGCCGATTGAATGGTAAGAGACACGAATGCATGCCAAGGCAGACACCGGATATAAAGCCGGACCGCGGCGGCGCGTTTCTATACATACCCACGTGGCAGCCGCCGTTGATGACTCCTCTCCTCGCCCGACGTCCAGCCCGCGACCAAAACTCCAAGACATCTCCGTCGATTCTGCGCTTGTTAACTGATGCTAAAATACCATTAACTATTCAAGTGAATGATGTCTATCTGCTCGGTCCACCTAGCTGGCTTCATATGAGAACCTAGCGACCATGATGCGGAAGTTTCTCGGCATCGGAGGAGTCAACCGTGCTGGATCCCGTTGATGTCCGTCTTGCAACGCGTGCGTCGTATTCCGGAATCTACCTCATGACCCGATCTTTTCTATTCAATAGGTGCCACAGAGAAGCTTATAAGGCTGCCATGACCCGTTCATTAGAAGCCCGAAATCGCGACGAGCCGCCGACGAGGGTTGTCCCCCGGTCACGTACTTTTCACTCAATTGAAATCCAAACGAGCTCACCTCCTCGAGGTGCCCTGACTTCATGGAACGCACCCGGTGTTCCCCCACATGGGTGGAGCTTTCGACTATATAACGCAGTACGCGAAATCATCCAAGAACGGCGTGCTTTGTCGAACGGCGCATCCGACATACAGATCAGTCATGGCCATTCGATCCGCCTCTCTCCTTCTCCTTGGCGCGACGCTCGCCTTTGCTGGCCAACTCGAGGAGCGGCAGAGCGGATGTCCTCAGGTCCACGTCTTCGGTGCTCGCGAGACGACGGTGCCTCCTGGCTACGGTACCGCTGGCCAGGTCGTCGACTCCATCCTCAGCGCCTACCCCGGATCCACTGCTGAAGCCATCAACTACCCTGCGTGCGGTGGTCAGGCCTCCTGCGGCGATGTCAGCTACGCCAACTCGGTCCTTCAAGGGGTGCAGGCGGTTGCCAGCCAGGTCAACTCTTTCAACCAGAAGTGCCCCAGCACGTTCCTCGTGCTCGTTGGCTACTCCCAGGTGAGCCTTTCTCCCGTAACCAAACGCCCGAACGAGAAAACTGAACTCAGTTAGGGTGGACAAATCTTCGACGACGCGTACTGCGGTGGTGGCGACACAAACGAGGGCCTTACCAGCACCGCCATCCCGATTTCCACCTCTGCGCAAGCTCAGATCAAGGCTGCCATCTTCATGGGCGACCCCAGGCACATCCCCGGCCTTTCTTACAACGTCGGTACTTGTCAGGCGTCCGGGGTAAGCATTCCTGTCCTATGTTCTGAAAGTCAAACACTTACACTCAACCTTACCAGTTCGCGCCGCGACCGGCGGGATTCCAATGCCCGTACGCCAGCAACATCCAGTCCTACTGCGACTCCTCCGACCCGTACTGCTGCAACGGCAACAATGCGGCAACGCACCAAGGATACGCGAACGAGTATGGCGCCGTCGCGCTCACGTTCGTCAAGAACAAGCTCAACACTGCCATCGCGGGTAGCGGCAGCGGTGGATCCTCTGGGACCACCACCTCCCCGACCTCCACAGCTCCCGGTTCGGGGTCGACACCTCCGGCGGGTGGAAGCGCGGCTCACTGGGCGCAATGCGGCGGACAGGGCTTCACGGGCCCCACGACCTGCGCATCGCCGTACACGTGTCAGTGCGCCAATGCTTGTAAGTTTTCTTCGCATTTTGCCATATGATGCAATAAATGCCACTGCTGACCCCTTCTCCAGACTACTGCCAGTGCCTATAGAAATTACCACCTCCATCCATGACCGACTTCGTCTTGTTGAACAGGCCGTAGGGCACGAGCCGTGTCCCAGCGTGGGGCTGCCGCAGTTAGGCTTCATGTAGTATCCGACTGCTTGGGCAGCATACTTGCCAATGATGTTTGCGTTCGGTGACCTCATCATCTCTCTGGAGCGCTCTAGCATGCAACTATTCTCCGAGCACTACCCGGCACCGGACCGACTGAGAACGACGAGAGCTTGGCCTCAGGTATCATCTTCGTTGTCGCCCACTACGCCTGGCTTGCATTTTGGCAAAATAAAACATTGTATACATCGTCTTGAACACCTTACGAGTACTCGGCTTCTCTGCGTAGTCTGATGGATGGTGCTCTAGAACGAACTTTCAGTTACCGAAGTCCCACGAACGACCACACCGTGCCGCCTGCCTCTCGCTTCTCGCGTTTTTTTCCGAACGTGGAGACAGGGGCGAGCATAAGCTGTTACTTCAGTCGAGAATTTTCAATGCTCTTACACTTCAGCCATTCGGACCCCAACCATCGACGCCTGGCTATAACTCGTTGCGCATAGCGATGATATCCAAGATCAACATTGTGTGCTAATCGACCGCGATGGTGCGCCAATGACCAATACCCGGAGTCGCCTCAATGTTTACTGATACACACCAGGAAGCACGCAAACATACATCTAGCGTACACAGCCTAATGAAGACCCCCTTCAAGTCCCTCGCGCGGAAATCAAATACCGAGATGAATGTAAGGCGCCCATCGGCACGGGTCTGGATGAGTTTCACGCAAGTGTCGCACCGCAGCGTCAAGTGCGTATGCAATGTCGCACGGGTCGATGAATTCGTCGTCGTGCCCGAATATCTCCTGATACACTGATTTGGCGATCTCCGGTCCATCGACGTCTTCCATTGACCTGGATACGAATGGTGAGTCTGTTAGGAATAAACCTTCCAAATTGTTAATTCGGCAACGTACCACAGCGTCGCGATCACACTTTTGAAGCCTGCAAAAAGCATGGTTGCGGCGAGGTGAACTGTCTGGTCCGGGTGATTCTGAAAGGTTGTTCCTACATAAAATTCATGTCCTAGAGATCGAAAAATGTCGCTCACCTGGTCACCCTTCGCAGTTTCACATGCACTCAAAAACGCCATGAACGCTCTCGGAAGTGCCACCGGCATCAATGTTTCGATCGTAAGCAAATTATCGCGCATAACGAATCCGCTCATGAGCGGATTTTCAGGATTTTGTTGGCCATGACAGGCAAGATGCAATATCGTGGCCTGTGGTAGTAAGTGCAAGAATGTGTCGGCACTGATACCTCCCTCGACCCCTATCAAGGCATCATCCGATGGCGGGAGTGCGATGGTTGCCCCATCCGGTAATGCCTCGCGCACGGCGCACATCTCCTCTTCAGTGGCCAGAAGGTCTTCCCACTGCGTCATAGATGAGTGGGACACCGCGGCGACCAAGGCTCGAACATTCCGCTTCTCGATTGGGACATACGATTCTCTGGCTGAAATCAAAGAGCCGAGAGTCGGCACGTAGGAAGATACGACGAAATCCGAGCACCAATCTCTTCCTACTCCCGCAGCATGGATAGGGAGATGGACAAAGTGTCCCGTCGGACACCACCATATCCGGGGACGCTTCCGGCCTGCGGCACGCTGTAGGTGCGGTAGTGAGTCTTGATATAGTATCATGTACAGATGAACCTAACCTCGACTCTCAGTTCCTCGAGAACAGGAGTAACCACGTCCACCCATAAGCGTTGCAGGATCTCCTCTGCCTTAGCATGCCGTTCCGTGATACGTCCAGCAGACTTCGCTAACTTGAGACGATTTCGCAGGGTAGATCTCGCCTTCGTCACAACTGAACGCCATAATGACCCTGATTCCAGAAGCCAGGCGTCGGTGACGGAAGAAAGGGAAATTGTGACGGGGTCACCGCAGGATCTAATGACGATGGCATGGCAGGCTAGGGTGCTCGATACAAGCACAATGACAGGGCCCCTTTCTGCTGCCTTCGCAAGCGTCGAAAACTGGTCGGGAAGCAGGAACCTCTGGAATCCCGTCACTGCACGAACCTCGTCCAGCAGGCGGTTGAACTCTTCGCTCTGCTGCCTTCTCCGCATGGCTGCAGCTTCCACAATGCGTGGATCTGGGGTGGAATAAGATGTGCTATCGCTAACCTGATCCAGTTGTCGTGCAAGTGATGATAACCTATGACGAAACTCGATGGGAACGGCGTCGAATGGAGACCTCAAGCGTAGGGCATGCGTCCAGAAGACAGCCCGGCCTTGTTCGAGAATTTCGATCGCCACTTGCGGAAACGACATATTGAGTGCGTGAGACGCTCCGGCTAGCGCTATATGCTGACCCGAAATCAGGGACTGGAGTCGCGCTTGTAGCTGGAGGCCAAAGAACGCGATACGGGGGAGAAGGCCAACAGCCTGTACATACATGTCCAGTAGCGTGGTAGATACGGACTTCTCGGCGGCAAGAATATCCCCGTAGCTTGTCTGGATTATTCCAAGGACGCGTGCTATTCCAAGAAATTTAGAGCGCACATCCCGAGTATTATTCTGCATCGCTTCAGCTAAGTAACGAAGCGCGGCAGACAGGCTGCGGTATGGAGTGCCGTTCTCGGTGTATATCTTCGCTGCATCGATAAGACAGTCGAAGCGCCCACGCCGTCCCGACTTCGTTTCAGACAGCTGCTTCATGAGAATGTCCAAGGATCGCAGGGCATCGTTGGGATCGTGAGTTAACCGGAATCTCGTTAGGTAGGAACTTGCTATTGTTCGAGGGCCTTCCTGGCCATTGGCCCTTCGTGGTCCGTATAGAGCAGGCCCCAGCTGTTCAATCGCATTGTTTACGTCAGAAAGACAATTCAGATAACGACCTCGGAGTAGAAGTGATTTTGCGAGCGAATAGACCGCTGCCACATGATCCGCGTGATCAGCCGGTATGGAGGCGAGTAACCTTTCAGAAAGGATTATCGCCATTTCTATGTCTTCAGATGCGAAGAGCTGAGTGAAACGGCTGCAAAGATGGGATACTGTGCCTAGAACAACGGTGCTGTAATCGGCTACCGAAGGAGAGACAATTGCCATTGCGCGGGTGCTCCAATGCACCGCCTCATTGAGATCGGCAAGATCCCCAACTTCGTTAAAGCGGAGAGACAATATTTCCGCGAGCAAGATGGCAGGAGCGAACCCTCGTGGATGATCTGTAGGTGCTTCATCCACAGCCTGTCGACTAAGACGAACGGCTTTCTCGAGATCATCTAGTTCACCACCCCAAGAAAAACGAAGATGCAGAGTCATTGCAAGATTACCCAGAAGCTCCCATCGATCCCTAAAACCCACAGGACAGATCTCCAGCACTTCGTGACGTATTGTGACAGACTTCTCGATGTCTCGGCCGTCCGAGAGCGTATATTGGTGACGAAGATCCAAGAGGTTTGCTACCACGGTCAAAGTCGAGAACCGAGGGCGGCGACAGTTGGAGCGCTCAATTTCGATGGCATGCAATCCAAGGTCGATCGCCTTATCCAAATCCTCCGTCGTGCACGTAAGAAAACATTTGCGTTGCATCGCCAAGAGCATGCCCTGAATTGGTTTACCGTGGGCGGTGTGTGTTGGGGGACAAAGCCGCATGGACTCTTCGAAAACGGATATTGCTTCTTCAAGATCGCTGTAATGGCCGAGAAACTCAAATCGACGAAGCACATAGAAGCCTAAGCATCGAAGATGCTGATGTCTTTCGTGTATTTGCGAGGGGTGCATCTCAGTCAACGCGCGGCGTTGTAGCTGCATGGCTTCATCGAGGAAGCTCATAGCCCCGGTGTCACCAAAGCGTCGGAACAGGATCCATCCAAGAATGTGTGGAGCTGTTGCTTGCATCGGATGCCCTGTGCCACATAGAGGAATAGACTCCCGACATAACGATTCGGCCATATCCAGCTCTTCAGGGTTCGAAGTAGTGGAAGCATGGAGTTCAAGGATGTGTGCATAGAAGACAAAAACGGTGGGGCACACCATGCTGTCCGCTCGACAGAGCGCATGAGCCTTTTGCGCTTCTGTCCAAGCGCGGGTTAAGTCATCCTGATTCTGGGAGTAATGAAATCGATCTATGAAAGCGCGTGCCAGCTCGATTAGAACGTGGTGGCGCGCAGGGAGAAGATCCGACGTTGCGGGCGTTCCGTCTGAGCTTAGTTCCGCAGCAGGACGAGGATGTTGACTGGAGTAATCCTCCAAGATAGCCTCGATCATTGTTATGCATCTTTGAACCGCCTCAAGGTCAGTCTTCTGCAAGAATTGTTGGCGAAGTGCGACAGCGTCGTGGAAATGACCGTTTGGGACGTTATCTGACAGTCGCGGGTGGTATAAATATTGTCAGTTTGTGACGCAAGGAGGCATCGGTGATGATACCTGGTGTACAGTCGCAGATACACTGAAAATTAGGCAGAGCCCAATCTGGTAAGTGAATCATTTGTTTTGATGAAGTACCCACTGCTGGCTCAGATATGAGCGAGGTAGGATACACGAAGCAGGTAGGCGTACGGTTCTGCGAACTCATATCATGCGGTCCGTCGTTGAGTAGTAGGGAGAAGATCTACACTAGGACCTGTCACTGCACGTCTTTATACCCGGGCAAGTAAAGCACCCCTACGTGGCGGGCCAATTGCGGAAGGGAAACGGAGACCTCCTATGCCAGCGCCGTAACGTATTTCGGGTCGTCCGCAGCAGCAACGCAGTGGTTGATGGAAAGCGCATCGGAAGTGCAGTGCCCTCATTCACTTGATGATGAAGCCTTCCGTATAGAAACTACACGACCAATATTTAGCAAGGGCGCATGCAATCGAGAAAGGAGAACCATATAAGAGAGAGAACTTACGGAAGCACCAACTCGGCAAGCAACGTAGATACTCTCGGCGAGGGTTCCACAATCCATTCAAAGGGTCAAGGGCTGGTTTATTCTTGGATGAGGCTATGGTGCAGTGCACCTAAGTGCATTCGACGTCGCAAATGGACATGTAACCGCTGTCCTGGGCTAAGCTCGAGCTCTCGAAGTACGGCTATTCCTGTCGCCGCAATCAGAGAAGCCGTTGGTGAGTACATGTACACCGTGCGGAATCTGATGTGTGCGGTCAGGTTGTGGAGAGGTAGTACTGATAATTGCCAGAGTTCCGCGCTGCACAGCACGCCATCCGCATGTGTCAGATGTCCTGTCAAGCGGTCGTTTTTGCGCGTATCGAGTCATCACAGACCTGGGGCGTCGTGGCTGTAGAGACTCCATGAGCTACCTGGTCGATGATCAAATGAAAGTACTCGTACAATCAGGCCCATGTACACTTCAGGGAGAATTACGGCATTCCATTGCGAGGGCGGTCAATCTCAGGCATACCCAGCCCACCGTGAAGCCGCAATTCACGATGCGGCAGAACAGTCTCCACGATTAGGTGCCAGATACTCACGATAGCGCGTGCATTATTGATATACCTATCCCGGGCGATCTATAATTATGATGCTATGTATCACGAAGCTGTCCGTGAACTTATGCACAGACGAAGATTCAAGGAAGTTGCGTGCCATTACCTTGAACACGTCGATGGCTTCTCCATTTCCGGGATCGAATATTATCAACGTTTGCAAGAGCAGATTCCGCACGGTAGTTCAGAGAGAGCTGATAGCCAATCTCACGCGATCAGGTATACATGAAATCGCGGAGTCCATCCCCAAAGGGATGCTGAGAACCTATTCTGGGCGTTTGAATGCAGAAGGCCGGGAGAAACTTCAGCTGGTGTTGATGTAGCTTCAAACATAGTCGAAACGATAAGAGCTTATGTATCACCATGCGTCCACACACCAAGGCAGTGATGCTCGCCTGACTTCTGGGAGATATGCGGTTGAGGTCGCGCGCGGAGGTGATGAGGCGTGGTAGGTAGGTGGGTAAGTAGGTAGGTAGGGTGGAATCTGCAAAAGGCGTAACACGGTCACCTACGGAGAGTGGTTGTCCACGCGCAGCAACCGTGTACGTAATCAAGTTTTCGCCGATCCGGGGACGATGGTCTAGACAGCGCGCGCATGCGCCTTCCACACCTGCCAGTGCTTCTCCCACCAAGCTCTCCGCCTCCGCCTCGACCTTCCGCACCATCTCCTTCCGCCTCTAACTGTATCGAGGGAGATGAGAAATTGGTTGAGCTGCTCCGCGTACGCATGAAGAAGAATGTTCTTGCGGGTATACGCGAGCCAGGGCGTGTTCTCGGTCTTGTGCGAGCCGCTATCGGCGGTGTATGAAGAAAAGCTGAGGGCAAGTGACGGATTAACGTGGACGTTTTCGTCATCCATGATAAAGCCGGCCGTGGAGGGGAAGGAAGGAGAACTAAGACTTGAGCTCGTCGAAGCGCTCTCCGATGGATGCGATGGACGCAAGGGCTTTCCGCCGGGGAAAATCAGAGCGATAGAAGCTTCGAATTTTGCTGGCAGCGCCGCGCTGCTCCCGAGTCCACTTCGGTGATGTGAGTTTGGCGAGCGAGGAGCTCCTGCCTGGGGTAGGATGAGGGGTTTGCTTCAGGCTACGGGGAGCCATCGAGCGCGCTCGCGCGTGGCTCGGTGATTGTGTGCGAGCGCGCGATGAGATTAATGATTGACACGTCCGCGGGCGGACTAATAAATATGAACGTCGATATCGGCATTCGTACCGCGTATATGCGAGGAGATACTCACCATGGCGTCATCGAAACGTTGAAGAACGGGGAGGCCGAGAGCGCGATAGAACTCATCAAGGGGTGCTGTGGTTTGAACGAAGCGTTCGCTTTGTCCGTGGCGACAGTGCTCGGCCTCTTCGCACTCGGCTTGCTGGCGTTGACGAAGGAGATTTTCCTGCGTAGACGGCGAAGGCGCTCGACCTCGAGCTGCTGCTCCTGCAGCCTCTGCTCTTACAGCAGCCGTTCGCGTTCCCTCTTCCCACTCACGCTTCGGTCTTTCCAACATCTCCAGCTTCCCCTCAAGGTATGCGCGTTCGCGCGTGCTATAGCCGAGAGATGTGTAAGGGTTGAGAGTGTAACAGTGTCATAGCCGTAGCCCTCGTGTTCGTCGTCGTCAAGGTAGGCGTTCCTGGGTGGCATTAGACGTGACCAAGCTGGCCAAGTCGTTCTTGGGCGAGTCCGATGGACCGTGCTAGACTTGTGCTAGACATCGAGATGAATGAAACTGGAGACGAGTCGGGAGAAGAAAAAAAACAATGTCCAAAACAAGGATTCGCCACGTGCTACGCGCGTGGATAAACACCTTCGGTCTGAGTTTGGCGAAGTATTCGTGAACTATACCATGAGCTCACCAACAGGTCTGCCACTGCCTCCAACGGGCGGGATCTTGACGGTTCGTGAACATGTTAATGACAATAGTGTGTCCTACAGTTGGTTACAGATCTCCGCCTCGGCCGTGATCGAAGCATCTCCAGACAGAGTTTGGTGGGTCTGGACATGTGTTGCATTGCGTGTTACTCATGCCATCCACGCTCAGGGAAACTCTCATCAACTTGGAGTCATATTCGGAATGGAACCCTTTTGTGTACGTGCAAGGCTGAACATTTCGCGGTCATTCCTCGCTCTCTCTCTGACAGAGTCTGATTTTCAGTCGATCCGCGGATGTGTGCAACGCGGCCAAGCACAGATTAGATGACCAAACACTCTCAGCGGGCAAGCATGTATTGCTGAAAGTGCATATGCCTCCCTCTATGGACGACACACGATCGTCGCGCATGACACTTTGCGAGGTCACCCATGTCGACCACGAGAACAGACGTGTATGCTGGGGTTCGCACGAGTTACCCAAATGGGTGTTGTATAGCGATCGCTGGCAGTCGGTCATACCTGCGGATCCGGAGGGCCGTACAAGCAAGTACGAAACGAGAGAAGTAAGGATATCTTCCCCCATGTCGGAACTTTGGAAGCTGACGGACCTGTAGGTGATGTACGGGTTTCTGGCGTTTATCGTCAAACTGTTCTATACCAAACCGCTTCAGGAAGGCTTCGATGCCATGGCGAAGGGCCTTAAGTCGAAGTCCGAGTCCCTTTAGCATCCATTCGTTTATGTTCAATTTGACGCCATCGTTCAATATTAGTACTTTCATACGCGACAGGGTTTACGTCGTCGAACTGCGCGCTCGGTGTGCGGAGTTCTAGTGGTGTGATGATTTTGGGTCATCGCCTGATTGGTACGAGTCGAGTACCGGGATGGGCTGGCCGGTTTCACAAAACGTGTGGACCTGCATTATACGCCGGCCCGACTACCGAGCTAGCGACATAGTTGACGTGCCCGTTGACGTTCCGACCGTGAACCTCTTACCATCGTTTCTGTCCTCCTTGCGTGGAGATGCCGTCTGCGTCCTTCGAAGGGGTCGTCACTGTGAGTCATCTGTTGCTCCATGGCAGGACCTCGGTTGGAACACTGAATGTTCCGATGAAGTTCCAGTCGGCTGCAGTTATCAGAGCAACACCGGACAAGATATGGTGAGTGCATCTCACTCGTTCCCCGACCATGTTCATCAGGAAAAAATTGGACTATCGAAAGAGTCGCTTATTGGGTACCGAAACCCTCTAAAGCTACTAAATGAGCACATTTTAGTACATTTTAGGAGGTTTTTAGTAAATCCGGTTTTTCCTGATGTTCTGAACGATGTTTAGGAGAGTCATAATGGACTTCAAGGATTACTCGTCTTGGAACCCGGCCATGTAAGATTATACCAGCGTTCAGTATCACAGACGCACTCTTAGCCCTAACTATTGTGAATCTCAAGTCATCGTGGATCCCTTGAATGACTATCGACCACTCTGGAACCTAACTCCCACCCAGGGTGCAACCTTCAAGATGACCGTCCGCATCTCTCCCTCGATTGACGACACCGGTCCCACGTGGAAGACAAGGGGCACCATCGTTTCCTTGGACCATGAGAATCGGCGCGTAAGATGGGTATATACCACCTCCCTCGCTGGTTGCTCTATGTCGATCGACAGCAGTACGCGGATGGCATCGATCCTGACGATCGTACAGTGGTTACGTGACCGTGGAGGTGAGCCGCCACGTCCGGCGGTGTGCGTATCCCGATCCCTGACAAGTCCAGGTATTTGGGGAGACCTCCTTGCATATGTAATCAAGTACTTCTTCCGTCAGGCGGTACAGGGTAGTCTGTATGCGGTATCATCTGCGCTGAAGGCATACGCGGAGCGTCACGAATGATGCGCGGCCTATGTTGAATTGCTTTGCATTGCATCAACTGAGGGCGAATCGAAGACTCGTACTGAAAGTAGATATCGTGTATATTCGTGACATGAGTTCTCGTCAAAGCACGATACGCAGCAGCAATGAGAGAGTCCGCCAATAAGTCAGATCATGCTGCTCGTGTCGTATATCGGATTAGCTGCATTCGTGGCAGCTGCCGTGGCATCGTAGTCCGTGACGCGAGCATTCGTAACGCCTGAGATGGCGGAGGGGACTTGATTGATCGAGAAAGCGTTTGTCAGATCTTCCACCTGCAACATCAACGCATGTCTTACCAGGTTGAGCAATGGCCGGGATAGCAGGCTGGACTGCGGCGGTGATGGATGCAAGTCGACTGTTGATCGATTTGGAGAAGCCCTGTACCACAAACATCGGGGTCAAAATACGATCTTGACCACCTTGCGACAGCGTCGCTTACCTGCTGATCGGCAGTGACTAGGGCCGAGATATGCTGGCTAGCCGCTGTCGCAGTCTTAGCCAGGTCGCTCTGAGCCTTCTGCAGTTTGACTACGCCGTGTGATCAAAATACTATAACTGGGAACTGGAGCGAGTGTACGCACCTTGCAACGCGGCTTTGTCGGCAGGCGTGGTACCTTCCGGAAACTGAAGCATGTTACCGACTTGTCTGCGGGTTAGCAAGTTAGAGCGCTCCGAAGACGTGTTCGTCGTCAAACGTACCGCTGGGCGGGCATGATGAACTGTGTGGACACGTCGAGGTACGTGCTGGCCACCTGAAGTAGACGTAAGGTGAGCGGCGGCACGCGTTGTAAGACCGTAGAAGAGGACCGACCTTTTCCGCCAGCATGCTAACCTTCAGCGGAACCGTCATCTGACTGTAGATCATCTGACGGGTGAAGGCTGCGCATGATGCTGGATTTGATGTTGTACGTCGAAACTGGCAAGCGAGTGCTTACCTCCAACAGTAACGCCAGCGATACTGGCAGCGTCAGACATAGCCGCGGACCACCTGCTAACCGACGGGGTCATCACGTCCGTGATCAAAGAGGCAACGCTCTCAAAGAACTGGGTGATCTGCGAAAACTGGGCCCGCAAGGTTGTAAATGCCCCCACGGCTTTGCGTAGCACTGGCAGCATATCTGATATGAAGGTCAGATGAGAGAACGACGCCGCATATCGGAGAAGGGTAACTCACTCTGTAGCGTTGCATTTGTCAGCGAAAGACTTGTGATCTCGGTAATGGTATTCGCTAGCTCCGCCTGTCCTTTGACCAAGCGGTCCTGCGCTTTCTCGTAGGCGTCCCTGGATGCCTCAAGGTTTGCGCGAGTTTGATCAACCTGCAAACCGGTGAGGGAATGTGCACGATGGAATGCGGGTATAACGTACTTGGAACTTCGAATTCTCTACCGCCAATTGCTAAATCAAAAGTCATCACGAAAGGCGCTCCAGGACCAAGACTTATATTCCTCACAGCTGCATTGCTGGTGGCATTCGCGGCAGGCGGTGCCGGGGTCGCTGGTCCAACCGGTGTTTGCCCCGGTTGCCCAAGTTGCACGTTGCACGAGGTCACTAGAGCCTGGAGGTTGGTGACAAGCTTGTCGATGCTCTCCTTGTCTCCGTCCAATGCGTCGTCCGTGGCATCCACCGAACCCGAGATTTTCAGGATATCGCCGATAATACGAAGAGCTGTCGTTATGTCATCGGCCAGCTTGGATGAGATCGGCATGCTAGGATCGATCCGCTGTTGTTGTTCCTGAAGGGTCGCTTGCACGTATTGACCTCCGCTCGTCTGTGCGCATGGGGCTGTTTGTGAGCAGGCCGATAACCTGTTTATGGGACTGAACGCACGGAATCAGAGCCGCGGATCTGATCCCAGTCCGGCTTGCCATCCGGACCTCCGGAAACAAGTTGCTTCATCGCGTTGACCGTGCACAAGACTGATGCAGCGTGAGTTATAGACTCAAGATAGGGGTGTCGATATCGTACCAGAGTTTGCTTGAAGAAGGCCAGGATCACTTAGGCATGCTCCGTTAGGTTGGGTAGGGATGCCATTGGGCGACGTAGTGGGCGGCATTTGAGGGACAGCCTGGTTGACTGGCGGCGGGTTTCCATTCGAGCCGGTCAACTGATCCACCATGAGCATCGGCACAGGATATCTGTACAGATTGCATTACCTTATTGAATGCCCCGACACCGAGTGCGGCAGCTTGTGCTTTGAGAGAGAACGTGGAAATCGCTAGTGGTGAACGAACGTAAGGGTCGGGCCGGCGCCGAGAGCTGGACAGATGTACCCGCATTGCCAGCAGAGACTAACAAAGACGTGAGGGACTGAACGACGCCCATGCCGACAAGATCCCAGCTTCGGTCCTGTAGTCAGCCCCAAACCTACGTCATCGACACCATTCTATTGCTTACCCAGAAGGAACTGCAAACGCGTGAGACAAGCGGTGGGGATATATGTGCCCGACGTACCAGACTTTACAGCGTTATGAAAGTCGTCCTCAGCTTGGGTGAACGACTGTAAACCTTTATTCAGGACATTACACGAGGGCCACAACAACGTCGAGGTCATACTTTCTGCATCAGATCGTTCGCCTTCTTTGCATCTTGTGCAGCCTGTGCGTCGGCATCCTTCTGGACTTGAAGGACGTCAAGGTGAACTTGGTTCGCGACGAGTTTCTGCTCAGTGGTCCCGACTTTGTGGGTACACGCCAGAACCAGCTCCTGCGATATCCGACAACGTCAATACAAAACTAGGCCAAAACACGTCAAGAGATTCACCTGGGCGAGTCCGCAGATATCTAGAAAGGCGGATTCGCTCGCTAGCGCAGCTTCTTGGCAAATGTTGGCGAGTTGCAAGATGCCCTTCAACTGATCGCCGAGGAAAGCCTGCACTTCCCGAGGAGAGCCGTTGATTACGAGCTGAACAGCCTGTGCGATCAACGCCGGGATTTGCCCTGACGCGTTCTGGATTCGGGTCATGTTGGTATGAGCGCTGGTGAATGCACGCGTCATCAGTGTTGAGAAAGCGGATGACATAGAATATATAACAGACCCTTCGAATGCAGTGTATCCATCCCCGACCTTTGTGGTAGTTAGCATAACGCAAGTGTCGAGTGAATGCGAAATACCATCTGTTGAAGGCAGGCCTTGAACGAGTCGGGATATTTGGCGAATTGCCACGTAACCTGCGGCTGAGCACTAGTACTGGCAGGTTGAGTGGTGGTGTTACTAGGAACAGTGCTATCACCCGAATCGGAAATCAATGCTGTGATCGAATAAGTTTACGACTTCGTATTCTGTGCATGAGAATCGCTCACAGAAGTCGTCCGTACTGGATGCGATGATCATAACACTTCCAAGAAGAGAGATGGACAAGGGCGCGGGCTGCAGAAGGTCACCCCAGTTCGTGTTGCACCACATACTGTCACCGATGGGTCAGTTTGGTATCGTATGAAAGCAGACACAAAGTGCGTTACTTCATCCATTGATCGTTGTTGATGTCATGTCCTTGAGATGCCGCGTTCACTGCGTTGGTCACGGTGATGAGGTTCATAGAAGGAGAGGTCGTGGTGTCCGGAACGCTGGAGGCCTGCGACGGGTCGACGGTCTGGGATGAAGGTACGCCAGGCGTGACCTGAGAGCCATCATCGGGAGCACTCTGGGACGGATCATGACTTGGAGACGGAGGTACATCAGTTGGCGTCGTCTGAGACGAGTCCTGAGTCGGCGATTGAGGTACGGTGGACATGGTGTTTGAGTTGCGCTGCTATGTGAGAGAGATGGATGTACTAACGGATTTGACCGTTTATCCAGTATTTTTATACTTCCAACGGCGACCTTGCTACGGCCTGAACATGCCCGGGTGTGAGTATTGTGGAGGTAAGTACGGAGTCGCATGACAGGGAAGCGGAAGAGGACATTGTCAAATCCGGCGTTTGCGCATACATCGGAGGTCGTCTCTCGCTAGCGATCGGTAGCTTGTCGTCGCAAGGACAAAGATCCCAGACCAAGCGACATTTCGGTCGAGATGCGACAACACCAAGGATAGGAGGGTTTGGGCGGAAAAGCACTCTGTCCAATCAGCATATACCGACCGCAACGGGACTGGATTGCACGGGCGCGCCACGCCGCCCGACAAGGTTCAAGAGGGCGCCGACGTCGTGTCGCATATAGGCAGCCCGTAGCAAAGTTGTCCGGAACCAGGCACATAGGTGGCGACACGTCTGACACGATCGCCAGGATCCATGTACAGCGCATATATCCGTTGGATTCGAGCGTAGATCGACCGCACAATACCTGCGACACGGCGTAGCGTTCCCGCAAGCTTGTTCCATCGGGCAGAAAGAATGTGTTTCGTGGCCGTTACGGGAGTTGCGCGGTACGATTCTGAATTGGGGGACGTCAACGTCGGGCACAACGGTCAGTGGCGGCCATAAGGCGACGCGATTGGCTGTGAGACGCATGTTCCCACGACTCCTTCACCGGACCCAATCGAACTCGAACTGAGTACGTTCGTTCAGTCATGTCCGCATGGGTATCTCTCGCAAGCGCTTACGCTACTAGTCGCGCTGGCGATACGAAGAGTATCCAGCATGCTCTATCTGGACATTTCTCCTGCGAAGCCACGGCCTTTCAACGCCGATGAAGGGGCCCGCAAAACCTGAATGACGATGGTATAAGAGACATGAATGAGTTCTGTGTCCTTCGGACGCCATGGATATTCTACAGGTATACGTGCTGCCTATAATTTTCACTCTATTTGTTGACGCTCCTCGATCCAGGGAACTCGGATAGCTACGTCCGCCAGCAATCGAGGCCTTTGGATGTTCACTACTAAGGGTGACGGCACCATAACCGCAGGTGAGCCTCCTGTGTGCTGCCATCATTTGTATCTCACTCCAAGTACCAAATCATAGCCCAAAATGATATGAACGCGGCCGCAGTCTCTGCAGCAATGAATGTCCCGAGTAGCACTTGTAAAGGATAACACTGCCTCTCCTTGGATTTATAACGAATTCTTTGTCCGCAGCGTCACGTTCACCAACCGTCGCACAAGCCGATGGCTGGTATGCAGGTAGAGTCGCCGCTGCGTGTCGTAGTCATGCATGCTCATCTTTGTTAGCCGATGTTCTCCTGCCCTGTGCCATCGGAAGTTCACTTTGTGCCTTCTCGGTCAGCCTATCTGGCCGTGATGCGTCAACGATGGAGCTAGGTCCATCGTTGAGCGCTGTAGCTCTCAGTCTTCCTCAGTCGGCTGTCGGCGAGGTCTCCTTGTTTTACGAAACAACCGCCCATGGGCTCCGAGGGGCACGTTTGGACAAAACCTGGGCGAATACGGACTTCATCCAGCCTGGCGTCATGCCCGGTACCGACATAGCCGAGGTCCACTCAAGCGATGGCCAGCGAGCCATGCTGTTCTTTCAAGATAAGGACGGCTTCATATGCTATAGGTATGGGCTTGTACGTTCCCAACTGACTTGCATAACCGACGTCTGGTTGCAGGAGAGCGACTCAACAGCTAACATGGGATGCCAATGCTACGCAATTGATCAAGGGATCCCCTGGATCGGGTATCGCCGCTGTAACCTGGAATGGTACACCTATTCATTCCATTCTTCGGGAACTCCCGCATATAGTGATTTACTCGACAGAGCTGAACGACATCAGGCTGTATTTCCAGGACGAGAATTACATTCTTCGAGAATATATTGGTAGCCTGACCGGCCCTTGGCGAGTAGCTTAAACATTGCATGTCTGATGAGGAAGTGTTGCTCATACCCCACAAACCAGGACGTTGAATCCCCTCACGAGCTTTTCGGTGCCATTCTCGAGCCCCTCGGTGTCTTTGGGAGCTGTTTCCTGGGCAGCAGCTGGACTGGTTCAGATCAGGTACGTTTAGACGCTCTCTCTACTATATGCTACGCTGACGAAACGATCAGGATCTATTTTCAAGACCCTACCACCCACAACATCATGGAATGGCAATATGGAGGCGTCCGCTGGATACTGTACTGAACCGCTCCACATCGATCGCTCATGATTAGTAACTCATTTGCTGCGACAGCACCGGCTTTGTACACGCCGCCCTTCCTGGATCCGACGTAGTGGCCCTCGTACAGCAAGTTCAAGCAGGGTTCCTCGTCGATGTTATATGGACTGGGCCAGACCTCGTACGTGGCAGACCCGCCGTCATAGATATCGAGCTTATCGGGATCCATAGATCACGCACCAGATGGCCTGGGATCCGTCTCTGAACACTTGGCTCGGGCCCGTTCCCCAGTCGTTCGTAACGAAAGGGGCCACGACCGGTATCTGGGGCGGGACCCGATGGAACGGCGTGTATCGCTTTTGATCTGTCTGCCGAGGAGCGCGATGCTCATTGTTAGACTTTAGATCTTGCCCTCGGTGTCGGCGGCAAGAGTATCTCGAAGATCCGGATCATGTGCGGCGCGGTGGTGGACGGCTTCGCCTTGGATTTCACGGATGGTACTTCCACTCCGTGGAACGGGGGGAAAGGAGGTAAATCCACCGAGTTTGACCTGAGCGCAGGTTTGTGGGCTGTCGTAGGTGCTCGCTAAGCTGTCTCACGGGCCAGGCTTAGGCGAAACCATCACTATGGTCCTCGTGGCTCAAGATGGGAAGGATATCCAGCGATTGTGCTTCATCACATCGAGCGGTGCGTCTCGTTCAGACTGTGCGATGTCTTGTTCCGTGAACAGCCTCCCCCCATGCGCAGGACGGCAATCCGAAAACTACGGGTACTCCGGGGGCGCCCCTGTCGTCTGGCAGTTCCAGGGTGCCCCGCTGGTTGGCTTCGCTGGCGCCTACGGGAAGGCGTCGTTCGAGAACAACCTGATCGTTCAAGGTCTCCAGGTGAAAAAATCCATCGCAAGGTCTTGTCGTGCCCCGAATCGCCGGCTGATATATGACGGCGCAGCCGATATGGGGCGGTGGCCAGGCGAAGTCGGCGTCAGACAGGTTGCAGAGCCTCGCGCAGCGAGTCGAGGCGCTCGGGAAGGAGATCGCCACCGGAAGACTGGAATGCGCAGGGCTCCAGAAGCGGACCTCGGCGTTGCAGGACAGCCTGGATGCGATGAGCAAGTGTATAGGAGCTCGAGCTATGGCAGGAATCGCGGTACGTACGCGGGGCTCATATGCGCACCAGCGCCATTCTCACACCTCTCCTGATCCGTCATCGACTCGGATAGGCTCTCGTTGGCAATATTCAAAAACTATACACGGCAGATTCTACCACTACTCCCGCTCTGATCAGCGCGTGCAAGGACCAAGGCAACGATGTGGCAGCGGTGTTCGATGTGCTACATATGCAATCGGTATCGCTCATGAAGACAGGCGAAGACGTTCGTCGTCCCTCCTTTCTCTCCTGAACGGGAGGCTGACGCCGTGCATCGCAGCTGGCAACAGAGGCGGTTAAGCAGGCGAGCGATGCTCAGACGAGGTTGACGCAGGTCGGCGATATCAGTGCAATAGCGTCCACGATCCAGGCCGGCGAGTCGCAGGAGCAGAAGACGCGGCAGTGAGTTTTCAATGCAGTAACACAAGTGGAACGTTGGCGGAACGCTGAGTGGGCTGCAGGACGTACGCGCAAAACGCTCAACAAGCTATCAAACTCGCTGAGGACAGCCTACACGCCGCGCAGGACAAGGCCAGCAAGGATAAGAAACTACGGGTCGGTCGTGCCAACTTGGCGGGCTTCACCGTCCTTTTTCGCCGTTATAGCCAGCTCACGGAATTCGTGTCCACACCAGATCGTCAGGGATGTCTTCAGCTTCGGTGCGGGCGAGCTGGGCGACTGGGGCGGACTGAACGGTGCGATCAGCTTCGCGAACGCCATGGTTCAGTCCACCCAGGCGAATCTGTCGGCGAGCACGGCCGGGCTTGCGTCCGTGGAGCAATCGGTGCAAGCCGTTCAGGCGCAGCTGGATCAAACGCGGCAGCTGCAGGCCGAGCTGGACGGGTTTGTGCCCGCCCTGCGGCAACTCGTGTCCCAGACGGCGGCACTGCAGGAGAAGGACGACCAGGTGCGCGCGCGTTTCGTTGTTTTTTTTTGATGTACGGTTTCCGAGTACCGATGGCGTCCCCGGATGATGCAGTTGATGAGCTCGGCGTCGGATCTCAGCATCTTCCTTGGCACCTTGTGGGCGACGTCCGAGACGCTGCCCGTAGACTTCACCGCCCAGCGGTTCGCAAGCCAGGTGTTGGCCCTGGGGAGCGTCATCGGAACGGATGCCGACCTTGGCAAGGCCCTCACGGGTGATCTGCAGCAGCTGCAGACGACGCTCGACCTGATCGCGAAGAGTCCCATTACGCCTCTGGCGACTACCGGGATGATCTGATGATCTGATGATGTATGCTACAAGTGGGATGGGATAACACTGGTTACGGGAGTAGTTCGGCTCGTGTAGAGCTAACACACCGCCTCAGCCAAAGTGTGCATTACAGTACATGTCGGTCTATCTATTGTACTTAACAACCGTGAGCTACTCTTCAATTCTCGGCGAGCAATTCTGCGAGCTGCCGCTATTCGTCGTCATCCTCATTCAGATCGACCGCATCGTAGATAGTCCGCTCAAGGAGCTCGGGATTGTCTTGTAAGACCTCGCGAGGTGGACGGATACTGTTCGTGCGAGTACACCAAACGAAGTGCGTTTCTGACGAAACGAGCCATAGTCGGGACCGTGAGCGGTTCGGCAATAGCACGATTGAAAAAACCTGAATGGGCGTGGAGCGGAGCGGCAGCAGAGCGAGACACTTTGGTACACTCCGTGAGACATTCTGTTCGCATGGCCGTCAGTTCGTCGCTTCCTGCGCAGTCAAAGAGAATGTGGAGTGGTTCTTCCACGTCCTGGAGACATAGTCGGCAAAGCCGCATGTTGCACGGGCGACCGGAGGCAGGTATCTCTGTGTCCACCGCAGAGTCTCCACGCTGAGGCGATGGTCCGACACAAGGAGCTTGGTGATTGCTATGCGATGTTTCTGCACTCGGACACGAAGATGATCCCGTTTGGTCAAAAGCAAAAAGTCAAAACCACGCGGCAAAATTGCGCTTACCCCGCGCTGGTCCCTTCTCTCCACTCGCAACTTGCTGCGAAGTCGTCGTCGATCCTGTCGACAATTACAGTAAGATCAATAGGAAAGGATTCGAGCGATGTTCGCACCGACGTTCGCGGAATTTATCCGCACATCATGCGCATCAACGGGCACCGGCCAGTTGTGCTCATCGAACTTCGAAGCCACGAGTCTTTCCGACTCACTCTCGCAGCGTTCTCTCACATATGGTCCTCTTCTTCCCGGCGAAACGTCTTGCGGGTTGAACACCGGGAGAAAGATGCATGACGCACGGGCGTTGCGTCCGGTCGACGATGGTAGCCGCCACCAGCGCCGTCGCGCGCGCTGTCGTTAGCAACGGGAGCTGATCGTTCGCCGACCATCTGCGACCCGCGCGACCGACTCGCGACCGCCGCCATATGCCTCCTCGGCTGCGCTGACCACCGCAACTGCATGGGCGGCGATCGCGAAGCGCTGACTACAGGAGCCCGGAGTACAAGAACCGCGGTCATCGCGTGTCCGCCCCCCCTTTTCCTGCCCCATCGCCCGGCGTCCTTGGCCTTCCTCCCGCAGCCCCGGTTCCACACCACCCACGCCCGGTGCTGAACGACTTTCCGGCCTCTGTCAGCTTCGCATTCCAGTCTCTGAGAACCTCGGCACATCCACTCTGCATATATCCCGGAACCGCACGCATACCCCCCGCATCCACGCACATACCCCCATTCCCTCTGTAGCATGATGATTTACCGCCAACCCCTCACGCTCCTTGTTTCTGCCCTCGCCTTCGCCGGCGCAGCCGTCCGCGGCGTCGTGATCGACACGGAGGGCCTCCCGGACACCGGTTTGAACACCTCCACCTGGACGGAGGGCACGCTTCCGCCCTTGAGCGACATCTGGACGCTGAACGACATCCAGATCGCGGCGAAGAACGTGCTCGAGCCGAGGTACTACGCCAGCTACCGCACCGCCGCCCTCGACGAAATCAGTGCGTCTTCTTCCTTCCCTTCCCTTCCCTTTCCTTTCCTTCCTTCTTTCATTTTGGAAGAATGTGCGGCTGAGAATGAACGCGCGAAAAAAAATAGCGTACCAGGCGAACCTGAACATCTGGAAGCAGGTCCGGCTCAACGGGTTCAGCTTCCGCGACGTCAGCGACCTGAAGCTCTCGTAAGCCCCCCTCCTCCTCCTCCCGCAAGCCGGGCACGTCGCGAAACGGTTCGCTTATAGCCCTCCGCTAGGACGACCATCCTCGGTCACAACTTCTCCCTGCCCTTCTTCATCGCGCCCGCGGCCAAGGCGGGCCACGCCAGCAAGTCCGCGGAGCTTTCCCTCGTCACCGCAGCCGGCAAAGCCGGCATCCTCTACGTCGTACGTCGAGAGTCCGCCGCGCTTTCTTGTAGAGATTGAACCTTTTCCCCCACACACCTCCTCTGAACTCGCCTTCGCCAGCCTAGCATCTCGTCCACCAAGTCTATCGAGCAGATCGCCGCAGCCGGTCTCGACAACCAGACGATGTTCCACCAGGTGCGTTTTAATCCGACCCCCCCGCTTTTGACAGCCCTTTGCCCCCCCGATCTGACGCCCGTCCTTCATTCAGGAATACGTGTGGTGCGCACTCACGCCCCCTCCCCCCATCCTTGTTTTTCAGAAGCGGCTGACGTCGGAGAGATATAGGTCGAACAAGACGCAGCTGAAGGACGAGCTGAAGCGCATGGAGAAGGCCGGCTTCAAGGCCGTCTTCCTCACCGTGGACAACACGGGCGTGAACGGCATCCGCGACCGCAGCCTGCGCTACACCGGCACGGAGAGCGACACCGGACACAGCGCCACTTTCGACGTGAGCCCCTCCCTCCCCCCGTTCCTCCCCCGCCCCCGTCCTCTCTCTCTCTCTCTCTCACACGCACACACACGGACTGACTGACCCACGACGCCGCCCCACCACCAGCTCGAGTCCCTCGCCGCCCTGCGCAACCTCACCTCGCTCCCCCTCGTCCCCAAGGGCGTCAAGACCGCGGCCGACGCCAAGAAATGCCTCGACCTCGGCTTCCCCGCCGTCTACATCTCGAACCACGGCGGCCGCGTCCTCGACGGCGCGCCGACCGCGGTCGAGATCCTGCTCGACATCCGCAAAAACTATCCCGAGGTGTTCGAGCGCATGGAGGTGTACGCGGACGGCGGCGTGCGCCGGGGCACGGACGTGATGATCCTCCTCGCGCTCGGCGCGCGGGCCGTCGGACTCGGCCGGTCGTGAGTCCGCTGTTTTGCTTTCTGTACGCCCCCCCCCCCTCCCCTCCTTTTTTTTGTTTGGTTTTTTTTGCTCGGTCGGTCCGGTAGCTGATTGGCGTATGTGCCAGGCCGATGTTCGCGAACATCTGGGGCGAGGAGGGCGTGACGCACATGATCGACCTGCTCAAGACCGAGCTCAGCACGAGCATGCAGCTCATGGGCGCCAGCGACGTGACCGCGCTCAACAGTTCCTACGTACGTGCCCCCCCNCCCCC